ATAATCACATTATATATTACAACAAACTTACATATTACCCTTTTAGTTCTTAATTGTCTAATGTATGACATTTAACTTTATAACCAATTAAGTTTTCCTGTTTAAAAGTGTTTGTACCCCATCCAAAAAATCACACACCGTGCATCGCACGGGTGCATATGACAATTAAATTTTTCAAAAATTCACACACCGTGCATATAAAAAAATTTCAAAAAATCAAAGATTTTGACTTTGACATTCTGAATTTTTTCACAAGCCTGATCTATATATCTTCAAATTTAAATAGTTTTTAGAGTTTTTCAATATAAAACCCTAATATTATTGGTCAAAAATTGATTAAATGGAAAAGTTGATCTATTTTAATTTTAAAAGTAAATGTACTTATATGACATTTTTTAGTATAGGGGTTTAAGTGACGAATTGAAAATAGTAGAAAGTCTTATTTGACCTTTTCCCTATATTTTATTAAGAAAATAAAGAAATAATTATATAAAAAATATGTAAAATGATCAACTGCATTAACTTTAAGAAAAAAGTAGGTCTTATTTGACCCCATTCAGCCTGAAGAATAAGTTAAAACTTTACCTATTTTCTTTATTATACAATTCAGCGCGTGAAATAAAAAATTACGTGTTTAGTGGGAAACAAATTTGCTGATAAGGTCGATAATCCAAAAAACACGATCACCAAATGAAGTCCCTATATTTCGAAGACCACAGTATCCGATAATGACTTCTTTTGCATCATTATTAATAAAAATCAAGATCCATTACTCTCTCATATTGGTCTCTTAACAAAGAAATTCATTTTTAGTCATATCACCGGTTAACTTTGAAGTGCCAGATCACATGAAATAATGTATTACATAAATTATTTTGTTTGGCTCTCTGGAGTGCCAAATCACATGTTAACTTTGAAGTTGTCACCCCAGTGATGCTTATGCGTAATATTGATCGCTCACTCTTTCTGTGTAATGGGACATGACTGATAATAACAAATATGTGTGATCACATCTTAGAGAGTATGGTTTTGAATGGTACGAGTGTAGGACATAAAGTGTTAAAACCGCGACTATCTTTGACATCGTCTGATGTTCAGTTGCCATTTAGATTTCAAAGGAGACAATTTTCTATTATAGTTTCTTATGCAATGACCATCAATAAAAGTGATCAAGGTCAGTCGCTCACTCACGTTGGTCTCCGATTGAAAAAACCAGTTTTCAGTCATAGACAATTATATGTTGTTGTGTCAAGAGTTACCAATCGAGCATGTAACACCCCGGCCCCACAGGACCCGAGGTAGTTACTCGAACACACCCTCCAGACCTCTAGTACTGCCCTCACAAACCGCCGCTAGCCTTTTCCGCACACTTTGTCTTCACTCGTGCGCGCCCTGAGAAACTTCCCAGGGGGTCATCCATCCCAAGACCACTCCCGTGCAAGCACGCTTAACTTTGGAGTTCTTGGGTGATGAGCTCCCTTAAAGGGAGATGCATCTTGTTGGTATGAGTAGTACTATTAATCCGTTTAAATTAAATCTCAATTGTTACGGTGCAAGTCTCAAAATCTTCATTCAAAATGAAGATGATTGTTCAAAGGATGAAACTATGAATGTTGCCTACCAAGAAGTGCTCCATAATCTCCAATGTTTCACATTGTAACATAATCACATTACATATTACACAACAAACTAATTACATATTACCCTTCTAGTTCTTAGTTGTCTAATGTATGATATTTAACTTTATAACCAATTAAATTTTCATGTCTTAACGGTGTTATACTACATCCAAAAATTCACACACCGTTCATTGCACGGGTGCAATACTAGTTCGAATAGAAACCGAATATATTCGAATATGTGTAATGAATTAAATACGAATAAAATTTATGATTCGAATTCTAAACGAATACAAATATTTGTCAAATTATACAAATATGAATAATATTTATTAGTCAATATTCTATACGATCTGATTCAATTACAACCGTAGCCCTAAAGCAGACCATAACAGATTGATCGACGTCTTTAATATTATTTTATTAATTTTATATTAATTAGAGTTACATTAGTTTAGGAATCCAATGACTCCATTTTTCTGGATCCGCAACTGTTCACACGTTATCCGTTTTTAGTGTACCACATATTGAATTACAGCTTTTAACAAGACGAATCCGAAACAACTTTGACATAATCCAAATCGGAAGTGCACCTCACTCAAAATATTGCCCTAAATTAACCATTTAATATAATTTTTTAACACATTTTTCAAACTGATATGAGATGAAGAGACGGCTAGGGTTTGGCGGTTTGCTCCCTACTAGTTAAGATCGGTCCCAATTCTAAGTTCTAACTTCTAACACCGTCTCTGGTCCCCACTGATTTTAATAGCACAATATATAATTTCTTATTTCTGTACCACTTCATATTGAATAAAAGATAAAAGGATGGATGAAATATATGACATTAATGGGAAGGAGTGCACGTATCAAGCCGTTAGTTTCTATTTACTTCCGGTTTCCACAAAAAACATTTCATCTACAATTTTAGAATGACTGAAACCCATTCCGTCTTGCGTGCTGCTAACTTTCATTTCACAATCACTATATACTCCAATTAAAGCCTAAAACGTTTTAATTATCATACGTTTTAAAAGCCTTAAACATTTTCATCTTATGCATATTTTAATGCCATCGAAATAAGCAAATTTCCATCAATAATTTAAATTGTTAAGGCCCTGTTTGGTTGGAGGGTTTTGGAGGGGAGGGGAGGAAAGTGGGGAATTTGTGTGTGTTTGGTTGAATGAAATAGGGGGAAGAGGAGGGAAGTGGAAGGCTTTCAAAATCCCCCACTTCATCCCATTCTAAACCCCCCAAATCGGGGTATTTCGGAGGACACGTGTTGATAACCACAAACTATCCATCTTCTACGTGAATGAACAAAATGTTATAATATAAAAAGGTAAAAACAAAAAGTTTTGTAAAATTAAAAAAATTAAAAATTTAAAAATTTAAAGATTAAAAAATTAAAAAAATTAAAAAATTTAAAAATTTTAAAAATTAAAAAATTTAAAAATCATAAATTAAAAATTTTAAAAATTAAAAATAAAAATATTTAAAAAATAAAAATTAAAAATTAAAAAATCCAAACTGAAAAATGAAAAATTATAAAATTAAAAAAGTAAAGAATCAAATAAAATAAAATTACGACTCATGACCATAGGAGTAATATTCACAATAGTTAGACATGTATCTATTTTTTTAAGTAAGCATCAAATAAAAGTAAATTGCGAAAATATTTTCATTAAACCTTTCCTCCTATTTCCTCCAACCAAACACAAATATTTATCAAAATCCTTCCTTCCTCTTCCCTTCCCTTCCCTCCTTGACTCTCCCCTTCCCTCCCCTCCTTTGAACCAAACAAGGCCTAAGGGTTTTAATTAAATATGACTAAATATAGAATGAGAAAAATATTTTGGTAGCTTATTCAATTATTTGCCATGTAATTAAAAGGATAGGAGGCCTGGCCTGGACAAATAAATACGATGGAGGGAATAGCTTATTCAGTTAATTGCCAAGTCATGCAACAGATAATTTTAATATAATATTGGTAATTAGTCGTTCAAACAATCAGATAAATTTAAACAAAAATCTATTTTTGAATATATTACTTGAACTGGGAGGTTTTTGGAAAAGCTTTTTTGAGATGCAAATTATACTTCGTACGGAGTATACATTTGTCCAAAAAGGTACGGAGTAGTAGTTAAATGTTATCATCATACGAAGTACTTATATCATTGTGTGAATGCTTAAAAGTATGATTTTGAGTATTACGAAAATAAAACTTATTTACACTTTTAGTTATTAGTCATATTTTTGTAATTTTTTTTATTTTAATTATAAATATGTAATTATTTTAAAGTATAATTGGTTAAATTAATGTTCTATTATAATTTATAACCACTACTTTGAAACAGTTTATAAGCAGTTGTTATACCGTATGACCGGTATACGGTGAGCACCGTATACCGGCATACGATTTTAGGCATTTTGGAAGCACCGTATACATCAAACATGTTGATAGACTATAAGCCTAGAGAGAAGTGAGAGCTAGAGAGAGAAGTAGTATATTTGCTTTGTATTAATGAATTGTGAACCCTTACAACTACTCTCAGAGGGGGGTATTTATAGGACAAATTAGGGCTGGGCTCCCAAGTCTTGGGCTTGGGAGGCCCATCTACAATAGGGCCACTAATGGGCCGGATACAAAGTACATAGAAAAGTTTAAGTGTAAATCCTGTTCTGGAGACTATCTATGGCCGACGAGGGCATGGCCGACGAAGACCCGGCCGACGAGGTCACCCGGCTCTTCCCGACTTCTGGATCACATTCTGAGTAGACTTATTTCTGGCCGATTGGGGTCATCATGGCCGATTAGGGTCCCACCAGGTGGTCGTGGTACCTTCTGTTCTCCCGAGTATGTGGGCCCTGGGGTCCAGGCTCATATACTCCATCAGGAGTCCCCCACTCTCTGAGCTGAGATGAAGACGAAGTGAAGGAGAGTAGAGTCCCTGGTGTTGACTTTTTTCCCGCCCGTCGTGGGGCCGCTATGGAGTCTTGGCCATTACGGGCACCCTTTGCCTCTGGTCCTTGATTTTCATTGTTACGGGTGTACTGCGTTCTGGCCGTTGTGTGGTCTTCGCTGTAGACGAAGAGGACCTTAGTAATGCGGATGATGCATGTTTCTGGTTTTTAAAGACGACGAGTGCCTTTGCTTTGTGGAGACGATGAGCGTTCTCTTGCGCGAGTGGCCTATGAAGATCATGTTTCCCTACTCCTGGCCGTTGATGGTTGAACTTTGCATCCATGGTCGAGGAGACCATTGTGGTTGAACTTTGACCTGAAGAATTCCAAACGTAACATAATTTGTTGATCGAACAAATAATTTCCGGATTGAGTAATCAGCACATCTATATAAACCACTAACCAAACTATCTTCTCATTCAACAAAGAAGAAGTGACATAACAATTTGAAAAGAAAAAAGCATTTATTTACATAATATACCATCCACACCTATCCTTCTTTCAATGGCCTCTCCTGGTTTCCAATCAAAGACCATACAACCCTCTTCATGGAGCATCACTGTTGCATTTCTGCTCATTGCCCTCATTTTTAACTCATCTTCAAGCATGGGAATGGGAACAAAAACCAAGAAAGACTCTGCTAATGGTGCTCATACTATGTGGTCAGAGACTGTGAGCGAAAATCATCCCCATAAGATTAGCGCAATTACTCATAATGATGGTGCTAATACTATGTGGTCAAAGCCTGAGAGGCCAAATGATCCTCACAGGAGTGGTCAAACTAATGAGAATAATGGTCATCTTCATGGAGTGACACTCAACATGCTGCCCAAAGGTGGGCATATCCCTCCTTCTGGTCCATCATCCTATAGGCGCAATTAGCATGGTGGCCATATCGGGATTATCATTAAATATTATTAAAAATAGATACTCTAATAAATAAAATATTGAATGAACTTTATTTATGCTATTGTAATTATTAATATTAATATAACTATTTAATTAGTATTCCGACTTTCATATATTTAATTAGCCACAGTAAGAAATTGTATTGTATGGGTGTGTTAATTGCCAAAACTTAGGGGTTATGATAATGCATTGCAACTTCATTATGGCACGATAGATTATGTGTCCTGCTCGGTACTTACCTGTATTTAAAAATATTATTACTCCCTCCGTCCCGCAATTAAGTTATCACTTTCCTTTTTGGGCAGTCTCTAAATTAAGTTTACACTTCCTTACTCTCCTTATTTGGCAAATTATATACATCAAAATAGTGTCAAACAGTGTCAAAATAGTGTCCAACAGTGCAAAACAGTGCAAAACAGTGTCCAAACAGTGCACTCAATAGTAAAGTCAAATTTATTTTCTTAATACGTGTGAAGTCAAACCGGGAACTTAATTGGGGGACGAAGGAAGTATATAAAAGTTGGCAGGAGTTTAAATTTGATTAAGGAAAGTTTTGATTTGTGTCCCAAAATTATATTCTCTTTCTTATTTTCTTTTAAGAAATGGATAGTGTGGCTGCTATTGATATCTTTATAATTATATAGTTTAACTATCCAAATACTTTCATATATATAATTAAAGTTGTGGAGGTATTAGCCCATAAAGCCTTGGCAGCTCTCTTCTCCTGTGTTGGGCCTGTTCGCTTGCCTCTTATCCTCGGCCCATGTTGTTTCTCGCTAGCCCTGTTCTGGAACCCTCTATTAGGGTTCCCATGTGGCCCTCGGTACTTAAGCCCCCTTAGTCCTCTTTGAGACTTTGAGGTCTTCGGTTAGAGAGAGAGTGAGGTTAGAGAGAAAGTGAGAGAGACTTCCAGTCTCTTCTCCTTCGGTCCTTTTGTGTTATTCTCTCTGTGCCTTCCCTTTCTGACCATGGTTTGTGTTGAGATGGTTGGGCTAGGTTGAGTGTGACTGTCCCTTCCGGTGGTGCTTGGTTGTGTGTTGTTTGAGCGTGGCCTGAGCTGGAGAGGGGAAAACCTCATAGTGGATGGTATCAGAGTCGGACCTCCTGTCGTCCTCGTCTGCAGCCTCAGAGCTCCTCCGCCACCATCCGCCGCAAATCTCCGTTGATTGGTAAGTCGAGAAGCCCATCCTCGGGTTCTCGCTCAGGTAAATTGGCGATAAACACCCTAGGTAGCTGGGTGCCTCCGGTATTGTGTGATTTGGTGGTTTTTTACTTGTTTCATCCCCTTCCCGCTTTGCTTTTGCTGCTTACCTGGTTGGTCTGGCTATCAGTTGTAACTGACTATTCCCAGATGCGTACTCTTTACCTCTGTGTGAAGCTTGATTTGCATGTATATATCTGTGGTTCATACTGGTTTTATGCATATGTGAGCTTGAGGGTTGAACTTGTAATTTGTACTTCTGTCTCCCCTACGTGTTTAGCTCACCTTTACTGTTCTTTGCGCTTGCTTGGTACCCTTATGACCTGGGAATTTAACCTGTGTGACTCGACACCTGAGGTTAGGACTGACAGGTTCCCTGCGAGCCACTCAAGTGGCCTTCAGATCTGCGTGGCCTGTCAGCCCGCAACCGGGAACACTGGTGAACCCTAGCTCCTTGATTCTCTGTCTCTCTATGTGCTGTTTTTCATTGACATTTTCTTTTGCTACTGATCTTCTGCATTATCCTTGTTGTGTTCACTCTGGTGTCTGTTGCTATGTCTGCCAATATGTATGGTATGTTACCTTTTAATGGGAAAACTTATTTTGACATTTGGAAACGAAAGATCAAATGTGTATTAATCCAGCAAAAGGTTTTCAGAGCTGTAAGTGAACTTTATTTGGATTATGATGACAGTGCTAAGAAAGATGAAATGAATGAAACGACCTGCTCTACTATTTATCTTAACCTATCTGACTCTATGCTTAGAAAGGTAGGTATCTTAGACTCTGCTAAAAATTGTGGGATAACTTAGATGATGTTTATACTGACACCTCTTTGCCTGGTAAACTGTTTTTGCTTGAATAGTTCTTTCGGTTTAGGCTAGACCTAACCAAAGACATTGATGAAAACTTGGATGTTTTTAATAAACTGATCCAGAATATTAAACAATCTGGTGATAAGCATATTGATGATTATACTGCTGTTGTGTTGCTTAATGTTATTCCCGATTCTTATAATGATGTTAAATCTGCTATTAAATATGGTAGAGAAGATGTCACGCTAGATATTGTTGTGAATATCCTTAAGAGTAAAGAGCTTGAGCTTAAACATAATAGGAGTACTTATAGTCAATCCAAGGATTCTGGTGAGGCCATGTTTGTGAGGGGTAGATCTAAGAGTAGGTCTAAGAATCAGAAACAGGATGCCCAAGATGAAAATAGTAACCAAAATGGTAAGAAGAGAAATAAGTCTAGAAAACGTGTGTGTTCTGGACACTTTATTAAAGACTGTCCCCATCCTAAGAAACCTGAGCAGGCTAGTGTAGCTGTAGAAAGAGATGACCTTGGTGAGGTTCTCATGGTGTGTGATCATCTTAATTCTGTTCGGAATACCTTGACTGAGCATGAATGGTTGATTGATTCTGGTTGCACCTATCATATGACTCCTTTTAGGGACCTGTTTTCTAAATATGAGAAATGTGATATGGGTTATGTTTCCATGGCTGATAATAAGAGATGCAATGTACTGGGTATAGGTGATATATTTCTTAAGTTTTCTTATGGCTCTGTGTTTACTATCCAGAATGTGAGGCATGTCCCTGATTTGTGTCACAACTTGTTATCTGCTGCTGCCTTGGAGGGTAGTGGATTAGAGGGAAAGTGGGGGAATGGTTGCATGAAAATTTTGAAAAATTCTCTGGTGTTGTTTAAAGCTGAAAAGGTGAACAACCTTTATGTGTGCCATGCTAAACCTTATTTTGACTCTGTGAATGCTGTGTATGCTGATAAAACTTTGTTGTGGCATAATAGACTAGGGCACATGAGTAATAAAGGTTTAGGGATCATGCATAAACATGGTCACTTTGGTAAAGACTCTGTGAACTCTTTGACTTTCTGTGAATCATGTGTTCTTGGTAAACAACATAGAGTCCAATTCCTTCTATCCTCTTATCCTAATATGACTAAGTGCTCCTTTGTGCTTGAATATGTGCAGGCTGATGTTTGGGGTCCTGCCAGTGTTCCCACACATGGGGGGGAACAATATTTCTTGTTCTTAAATGATGATTTTTCTTGGAAAGTGTGGGTCTACCTTCTAGAACATAAGTCTAATGTTTGTGAGAAGTTTAAGGCCGGGAAGTTACTTATAGAAAATCAAACTGGACAGAATGTTAAGACCCTTAGGATTGACAATGGTCGAGAGTTCTGTAACAAAGAGCTTGACCAACTGTGTGCCTCTTCAGGCATTAGGAGATATAAGACTGTGCCCAACTCCCCCCAACAGAATGGGGTGGCTGAAAGGATGAATAGAACCCTTCTTGACAAGGTTAGAAGTATGTTGTCTACCTCAGGTTTACCTAAGAAGTTTTGGGGTGAAGCAGTTACCACTGCCACCTATCTGATAAATAGATCTCCCTCTGTTCCTATAGGGGGTCAATGCCCTAAATTTAAGTTTACTGGTGGGTCTCTTGACCTATCAAACCTTAGGATGTTTGGGTGTGCTGCCTATGTTCATCAGAAAACTGATAAGTTAGATCCTAGATCCAAAAAGTTTGTTTTCTTGGGGTATCCTGATGGGGTAAAGGGATATAGGCTATGGGATAGAAGTGTGCATTGTTTTAAGGTGGTTATAAGTAGGGATGTTACTTTCAATGAGTTTGATTTCCCTTGCTTGCTTAAAACTGTTTCTGAGCATGAGCCTGAGAGGACTCCCGTTGAGGTGGAGCCTCAGGCCCCTTCTGTGCCTACTATTCCTTCTATTATGCATGACACTCCTCCTTTTGTACCCATCATCTCTTCTGATGTGCATGTTAATGATTCTGGTGATACTGCTACCTCTAGTGAGGTGGAGTTTAATACTCATGATGACCATGTGCATAATGATTCTGTGTCTAGTGGAACCAATGTGTTTGATGATTCTGTTGAGAATGATCATGTTGATTTTCATGACTACCAACTTGTTAGGGATAGGAGTAGAAGAACCATTAAGAGAAAATATGATACTTTGTCTGACTATGCTTTTACTTCTTGTGATATATCTGATTTTGCTTTTACTCTGTTTGAGGCCCTAGACCTAAATGAATCTAAGACCTATAGTGAAGCTCTAAGGTCCAGAGAGTCTCAGAGATGGCTTGGGGCCATGAAAAGTGAGATGGACTCTCTGAGAGTGAACCAAACTTGGACCCTTGTTCTTAGACCTGATGGCAGCTCTGTAGTTGAGTGCAAGTGGTTGTTTAAGGTCAAGGAAGAACCTAGTAACAACATTAGGTACAAGGCTAGGCTTGTTGCCAAGGGGTTTACTCAAAAAGAGGGGGTAGATTATGCAGAAATCTTTGCTCCTGTAGTTATGTTTACTACTGTTAGAATCATGTTGGCTTTGGTTGCTCACTATGACTGGGAGATGAAACAAATGGATGTCACCATTGCATTTTTGCATGGTGAATTGGATAATAAAATCTACATGACTCAACCTGAGGGCTTTCTGGATCCCAAGAGGAGTGACCATGTATGTCTGCTTAGGAAGGCCTTGTATGGCCTGAAGCAATCCCCTAGGCAGTGGAATATTAGGTTTGACAAGTGTATGCAGTCTATGAAATTTGTGAAATCTGCCTGTGATCATTGTCTTTATTGGGCTAGCTGTTTGTAGGCCTTTACTGTTATTATTTCATTAAATGGAGTGAAAGGGTATGTCTTTTAATGATGAAGGCAGGGCCGGTCCTGGGGGGAGGGCAGCACGGGTGACCGCCCTAGGCCCGAAAAAAGTAGAATGAAAATTAGGCCCAAAATACTTTCTTTATATATAATGTGAATAAGCTACTTTTTATTTATAAATTCAATTAATTCATTAGGCTTAATGTATAATTTTTGTTGACAATTTGCAAATTTTAAAACATAACTGAAAAGTCTTGATCAGAGCCAGACAAATTTTTACAAAGAATAAACATTTAATTTTGATTTTTAAGTAAAACTAGTTGTAAGTCAACACATATGTTATTGAATCAATAAAAGCACGAATCTTCACATCTTTTTAGCCTTTAAACCTTTTTATGTCT